ATAAATGAATGAACCAGTTTGCGAAAATAGCAATAAAATCGAAAAACATGGAATTTCAAGTGGATGTGGCTTAGATATGCACATTTGTTTTGTGCATGGTCCTCAACCCAAAACATTATCAAGTTTTTGTTATTATTTTTGTATGCATATTTTTTTCATCTCTAAATATTTAATGTTAGAAAGTACTTTTTACCTGTAATAAAATGGATATCTAGGATTTTTATGGCCTTTACGGCCAATTCCGACAAAATTATTTAGTTCATTTTTACGTTAAAGACTTATTTTCCTAACTTCAGGTATATATTGATACTAAAATTTAGCTTGACGAGATTGAGACTATTTTAAGTTCTTTAAATTTATTTACATTTAGTATCATCTTATTTAATTTTTTAAAAAATACAATGCCAAAAAGAAGTACCTTAATTTTTTATATAAACATAAAAAACGGGTTTTAATAGTTTTTTAACCGCGCCAACGATTCGAAATTTTCCTGCAACTGCGATTTTTTTTTGCCGGGTTAACACTACAACATAACAACATGTGCAACTTCTTAGATTTTAAATATTTGAATGGATTCAAATTTAGCACACTGAATTCTATAAAAAAAAAGTAGTCCTTTATCAAAGTACTATTACTTCATCTATTATTTTAATACATCCTGAAAAAGTTATTTTGAATATTACAAAATATTTTGATAACCCCAGAGCCTCTTAGCCATTTGTCACTCATAAGATTACTGCTTTCGAACTGATAGCGGCTGCTTTTGATGTTCTAGTTAAATGTCACTGGGCTTAGGTCCCTTATCAACTCACCATGTGATTCTCCGGACGATTTCACAGATTCCGGAGCAGTGGTTTCGGAGCTATCGATCGCCTCACTGGTATCCGCATCCAGCCAGTCGTAGTCATCAGACTCCAAACTCACGGAAGATGGCCTTCGACTGTTTTTCTTGGGTCCCCCGGTCAAATGACGATGATGATCTGCGGAGGCATTGCTCTTGTTGTTACGTCGTCGCACCTGTCGCTCCCCGGAATGCAGGTGAGCGTTCTTGGTGCTCTGGTTTTCCTCCAACTGGCGGACGGCACTCACCACACCAAGAGGCAGAAGGAGCAGCAGAATTCCATAGCCACTCGGGCGCATTTTTATAGTTGTTTTGACTGGGTTTTTGCTCACTGATTTATGCACTTTTCTGCTTGTATTTTATTCTGATTATGTCGAGTGCATTTTGTGCACACTGATAAGACGTTGCGGCCAAAGGAAATGAGTGTGTCACAAGTCAAAAGTTTCACTGGGTCTGGGTTCATCTACATGGCCAATGGGCATCCGTTCGATAAGCATTCGCGTACGCACCACTTTACACTATATATAAACTGATTTTTCCTGCACAGAAAAAAAAATATTGATGTTCTAGGGTTAATTCAAAAGCACGAGAATCCAATGTCTTACGGCTAAATTTATTTAATTAATTAAAGTGTTTAATAACCTAATAAGTTGCTTTTTTCGAAAAATGGAACATAACATATTAATAAACAAACTTATATTAGGAAGTAAATGATTCAAAATATTAAAGTAAGAGTTCCAATTAAGTAAAGTTCCAATTAAATTCTTAATATTATTTTCACATTATATGAATAAGAAAGTTTTTAAGCTAATTTCTTAGAAATATCATACTAATAAAAACACTTTTTCAACAGTAAATATTAATGAAAAAATAGCATATATTTATTTTGCTTAGTGTAAATGTTTTTAGACAGTGTTGCTGCGATGCTCGTTACTAGATAGTGATTGAAAAAACACAGACAAAAAATGAAAAACGATTAAATTTAATGGTCTCCCGCACAAGGGACTCTATTGATAGGGAGTTGAGCTATCTGTTGAAATATACATAAATAAATGTAAGACTGTTTACGCAGTGGCGAGTGTGGAAGCATTCGGAAAACGCCTCCGCCCTTGCCACTTGTCCACGCGATGTCACACAGTAATTAAGCCAATTGACCTCGCTTGGCCGCCAGTTTGGCAAAGCGTTCCAAACTCTGCACCGCGTGCTCCTCCTTTGCCACAAAGGCAAAGTAGCGAAGGCAATGGCAGGCGGCAACGGCGACGGCATTTTATTAAAAGTGAAAAATATAAATAAATAATATCAAAAAGCGCCAGTCGTAGCGGCCGACAAAGTGACACAAACGATGAGGGACGCACTAATGATGAGACTCGTTTCGGGTTGGGTACTCAAGAGCCTTCTTTTCCACCCTTTCTCAATTTTATCGCCAAGTGTCCTTGCACTTTGCACTCGAAAAAGGGAAACCTAATTTAAAATTTATTCAATACTTGATTTCTTAATAGGAAAATGAGTGGACTGTATTTAAATAAAATTATTAAATTAGACAAATTTGTAGAGTACCTACAATAAATAATTGCAAAAATTAGTTTCAAAGCGTTTTTCAAGGATTTGTTAAGAAAAAAAAAACACAACAAGATTAAGTGAAAGAAATTTATAATTTTAAAATATAAACTCCATTTTTGTTTATTTTTTATTATGAATTAATTCAACTTTCTAATATCGGAGATAAAATCTGGACCAAATGCTTTTATTTAGTTAACGATTTAAATACGAAGAGCCTGTTGGATTCTGAGCTCCCCAATTTTTCCTTCCGATGATAAAATATTTAATATTTAAATATTATTTAATATTTAAATAAATATTTGAAAGTCCCAAAAAGCCAGACAATTGTTTTGAGTGTGCGTCTGTGCTTGTGTCAAAGCGCATAGCAAAGCAAGCTGGCGACAGAGAAAGGGGGAGTGGCACTGGGAGGGGGCGGGAAAGTAAGTGGCGGGCAGAGGGCGGCGGGTGGTGCCAGGCTATCAGCGTTGAGTTGAGCGGTGACTGTGCTTTGATGTCTTTCTAATTGCATATTTTACAGCGCCAGGGAGTCGTCCTCGCACACCCGCGCATCCACAGCCAGTGCAGCAGCTGTAGCCATCCTGCAAAAGGATAGCACTTTCAGCGAGAGTGGAAAGTAGAGCTATTTGCTCTGATGTGGATGCCCCTATGGCCCGCGCCTCCCCTCGGCCTCACCCTCAAAGACGCCGTCACCCAAAGTGGACCAGGACCTGGTTGGTTTGTCAACTTCAGCGTCAACGTCAGACGAACACGAGTAGGAGGAACACAAAGGCTGAGACAAAAGGCGGCATGTTCAAAAACTAGACAAATATTAACTCATATGCAGCTTGAGGTTGAGCGGAGAAGAAAAAGCCTTTGTCTCTAGCATTACAGTCTTACCTCCACAGGTCAATTTGCATAGAATCTCTTCTAAGGTTTACTTAAAAAGAACTCTCCTTAAAATGAGCTGATAAATGTTTTCAAGTCAAAATATTCGATAACTTGAAATTGAGTTCACTTTAAACTTAATATTAGATTCATAGATCATACCATTTTAATCAATTTGTTTATTAAATTAAAAACCAATTAGAAATTATTCAGTTTTACAAACTATTCTTCAAAATAACAATGTCTTTTGAAGAGTGAATTTAAGTGATAGTACACTTTTGAAAATCTTTTAATTTTCCATTTGTTTCTTAATATGAGAATCTCCACTGTACATGCATGATTGTGGCTTCAACTCCGTTTTGATTGCAATGGGAGAACAATATGCATCACACAGAAAATAGCGCCACTTTGTAAAAGGGATGCAAAAGGAGCCGCAGAAGGACCTACACAAACACATTCATCCCAATATCAACACACACACACTCACACACACACACACACTGCGCCCAAATGCATCCCATAATCACATGCCGTTTGATTTGTTTACCGGGTTCACTGAGCTTTGACGTAAAGTTTAACACTTTGGTTTGGATTTTCTTTATATATGTAATTCACTTTATTTAAGCAGATTGTCATTTATATTTGAATAAACACTTTCGGTTTCATTTAGTCTATTTTGTTTGGTTCGCGATCAAACGACTTGACGCGCGACATCTTTTACGTCCGCACGATCCGACAGTTGGAAACAGTGTGAGCGCCGATGAGAACGTACATTGTGTTATAAGCGACTCTGTCACGTATACTGAGAGAATTTATATAAAACTTAACAATCTATTTTGAATTAAGGAAACGGGAATTAATTTACTTCTTAAATAAACTTAAGGCAAAATTAAAATTATTTTGTATATATTTTGGAATTTAAAAGGTTATGGGTATAAAGAATGTCGGACGTGACAAAATGGGTACAAAAGAGAGCACTGAGTCTTCAAACTGCAATGATAGTACCGTTTAAAAAACAAACCTTTTTTAAACAATTTAATATATAAGTGGTGTCATTTAAAAAAAATTATATTAATTATTTTTATTATAAGAGATAATATTTAAAAATTCACGGTACTAAACACTTTCACAAAATATTTGTAAGGGAATGTTAAAATGAATTTAAAAGGTAATGTAGATTGCTTACATTAGCAAAACTTAAACGATCTCAGAAATAGCAGTAAGCTACGGTCAACATTAGATTTAGTTAAATTACATTTTTTTTGTCCCCGTTTGGATAAAATATGTGTGACTAACAAAATAATATGTAAATTTATTTATTTAATAATTAAATTTAATTAATTTAATTTAAAAATGTAAGTGTAGGTAATAGAAATGTTTTCAAAAAAAATATACTACAAATATAATATATACAAAACAACAAAAATATATTTTTTAGCTAAAAAATACCATGAAATTTGTCTTTGCTAATGTTAAGCGGAGACTCAAACCTGACCATTCCACTCTCGCATTGCCAAATAGTATTGACTGCTTTACAAACCGATTTGCAAGCAGTTTATTGACTGCTTGATTATCAATGGCTCAAAATTTTAAAACTAAAAATGAGGAATAATAATTTTGTATGTTTATTTAAAATCTATTGCTTTATTAACATAAAAATAGAAAACGAATCAAATCATTAGTTTAAATGAAGAACAAGAAAATGTTTCCACCATTTTTGTTTAGTTATTTATTTACTGAATAATTTAAGTTCACATACATTTAAGTTTACATATACATTTTCATTCATATGAATATAGGTTGTTATGTAGTTTGTATGTGTTTTAGGTTTAGTTTTTAACAGTGTTCCCTTTAGGCTACAATAAATAAACACTATTTGTAGGAAATATATTTGTATATGCAGTTTTGTACATTTCACTTGCTTTTCTGTTTTTTCTTTCTTTTATTTGCATTCCGAGTGCTTATTTCAAGATCTTCGTTTAGTTGTAAAGTAAGAATGTTTTGATTTAATCGGAGGTATTTCAGCATTTAACCTGTTGTTCTGTTGTTTTGGTATATTTGCGTAATGTCAGCAATGTTGTTCTTGAATTTCGTCTGGCATAGGACAAATCGAAACAGTTGTGTAGAAGGATTCATTTAGAAAAACTTGTATAAGTATAAGTATAGTGTATAATATATATATATTTATATGCTGGCTCCTTAGAGTATGTATTTTGTTTGTCTAGTTAACACGTGCAGTGCTATGTATTTCTCAAGTCTTTATTTAAGTTTAAATTACACACATTCAGTTTTAGTATTCTGCAATATTTTTATTGGGATTAAGTAGCATATTTTACACACATTTGAAGGTCCGACTTCCCGAATTTCATGCGACAACACCAAAATTACGCTCATAGAGTTATGTGAAAGAAATCGGCAAGCCCTCTTCGATTTGCCCCTCTCCCGTTTCAAATATTCTTATTATTCAGATGCCCCGCAATACTCGTTGTAAGTACATATAAAATAGGTTAAATAGGTGCTCGAGAAATGCTCTTTGGTGTTTTCTTGATAGACGTACTCGGCTGGAAGGAATTTATGTATTTAACTTAACAATTAGCATAAGTTCTCGCCACTTCTCGCTCTTTTTCTGCGGGCGAAACTGTCAAACAGTTGACGACAAACGCACACAGGATCGAATGGCAAAAGGACAACAGGACGATGGCAATTTGTCAACTGTCGGTGGCACAAAAGGGGAAGTTTGGGTTTGGGTTTGGGTTTGGGTTTGGGTTCGGGTTAGAGCTCCCTGCATGATTGACGACCATTCACCTATACGAATTATTATTCCCGGTGCGGTGTATTCATAATTATTTAAGAAACGCACACTTGAATGCCCTCCTTGGGGAGCAAAAGGAGGCGGCAGGCTCCTCAAGTGTCTGCTGAAGTCGATGGAAATGTCAACAAGTCTGGCTGACAGTTTGGTGGATGTGCGATTACCGATTTCCTATTGTACTTGTACCCTTCCCGGTTTTTCCCGACTGTGTGTGTGTGTGTGTGTGTGGTTGATATTTTTCTCGAGAGGTTGCACAAAATGCACAACAAAAACTACAAAAAAGCGAACCGTTAAACCAATTACCCACAGAAAGGCGAACCATTTTCGTGGGCATTTTTTCGAAGTTTCTGTCGTTGCGTAGGAACTTTTGATTGAGCTTCTTGGAGGGCTAGTTAGCTGCAGCGTGTACATTCATTCGTATATATTATATATAGATGAGATTTTGATTTCGTAGAACATTATAAGCTTCGGACGGTTGGCCGCCAAAAATGCAATTGGAAAATTCACACAGACACGGTTACAGTAGTAGTAGTAGTACACCTATATAGACGCAATGTGGGAGCAATTGGATGTTTTTTTTTTTTTTTTTTGTTGGAAATCATAGCTAACGTATCCGGCCTAGCGGATGTAGTGCCACATGGCCGTGGGCTTGCGGGCATTGTTAATCATGTCGTGCCAGTGCTGGCACCCGGTTCCACTCTCCTGGGGACCCAATCCGCAGCACCCGATTTCCGTGGCCTCGCTACCGGCACCCACCACATAGATCTGCGGAAATATTACATACAAAAAATGTAGGTTGGGTCGGCAGGGAATTTCAATTAAAACACGGACGGGCATTAAACCAGGTCTATTGCGCGGAATTAGCAGTCGAGCTGTTAAAAACGGCGGAGGCCAACGGTTTATGGCCCAGTCCGGCCAAAAGCTAAAGGCTAAAGGTTACCTCGATGGCTGCATTGTGGAGATAATTTGATTGCAAATTAAACGTGAACGCCTCGTTCCAAATGGGATTGGTGGGATCGTCGGACTTCGTTATGCTAGTCTTCTTTTTCTTAATACGTTTACCGTTTTGAATCAGGTAAATCTAGAAAAAAACCAAAGGATATTTAGATATTTAGCAAAAATATCTTTATGGAAAGCAAAGAGTTGTGTTTTCAAAAATTCCTTTTAAATTGTGAAAATATTTCTGTAGCAACAATTAAACAATAAATTTCAATTTCAGTAAAGTTAATAAGTTTATGATGTTTAAGAAAATGTGTGTAATGTATTACTCATACCAAACGTTTTAAAATTTTCAAATTTAATGTTTTAATAATTTCTTTTTTGCGTCTTCAAATTTAAAATATATTTTTTTTCATAACGCATAACAATATTGTTAGGTTCCGAGCACGCTTCCCAATAATTATTTCTTTCTCAATAGTATGTTAAACGGATGAATTACAAACAAGAAACTAGACATGGCAAACTCAACAGTGCCTCACAAAGTTGAAGCAAAAAACAAACAAAAAACAAGTAAAATAAGTAAAAATAAAATTATCACTAATTTTATGATTTACTGATAAGTTATTATTTAATAATAATTTTAAGTCAATTTTGATTAATACTATTTTCAAGTTATGCATTTCTAGAGGACGTGACATTTCGGTACCCACCTTGACGTATGGTTCTTGAAGAGTGTCCAAATTTCTAGCCTTCATTATGACAACCGTCAATCGCTCAGCCTGTGGTAAATAGTTGAGGGAGCAAAGGAGCTCCGGTCGATCTTCCTTTGGTTTCTTGGTACGCAGTAAGTCTCCCCAGATCTGTAAAGGCATTATTTTCAAGTCTGTCCAATAGCTTCTTATAAACAACTACTAACCTCCACTGACTTGGAAAGATCCAGACCATCCACTGAGATGCGAACCTCTCCGATTATATCGTTGTGCGAATAGCGATCGTAGTCGAGCACCTGGAGGATCAGCTCTTTTCCTTGGAGCTGGTCGCGGGAAACCGGGAACTTAAAGTGTTGGTCAAAGTAGGGGTTCGATTCACCCCGGTGGATGTGCGTCTGTCGCTTCCGGCTGTCGACTTCCGGCTGTAGCATTAACCGGACGTAAGGATCTCGAAAGCCACCCTCCTCAATGGGACTGAGATTGTGAGCTTAGATGGAGTGATTAAAATGGGGTCAGTGGCAGTTCTCGACTTTAGTGTAATCTTTAAACAACGAGTTAATAAACAAAACAATGCAGCAACCCTCTATACCTAAAGTTATAATTAATTGTTAATTGCCACGTAGCAATCGAATCCAAGAACATTGTACGTTAAATCTTCGTCTTCGCGATGGCGATGTTATACACCCAAAGAAAAATCATGGTAAGTCCGAACATTTTTTACTTTGAATTAAATGTTTTCGGTACTGATTTAGCCCCGAGAGTGTTTGTGTTTAAATCATAGTGTGTTACATTTCATATTTATTTTTAGGTATGGAAAACATTAGTTTTAAATTTTAAAAAAAATGTTAGCCTTTAATTTAATTGTTGGATAAACCAATTTAATTTGTTAATAATTACATTGTTTTTAGTTCACTTTAAGTAATGTTCAATGTTTAATTTTACCATGCGGTTTAGAACCAACTTTCAAATTAATAATAACAGCACCAAAACAAAACCAAACAAATATCTGACAAAATTATTCAGGTTTATAACTATAAACTATAAATTATACTACATTTTTTCGATTACATATAGTTTTATTGAAAAAAAAATCTGCAAGCAATCAAGAAATGTAAAGTACAATACCTTCAATCAGATGCACCGTCAGATCGAACAGGTGATAGTCGTACTTCACGCGCAGGTGTAGTCGACCCACGGCGTGGCTGGATTCCGGAGCTGTTAGATAAACGGGTCCGTCCGGCAAACGGTATAAATCCGGTTGGAGGGCGCCCAATGGGGAGGCGGGACCCATAGCGGGATCTACGCCGGGCTGCGATCGTGGCGGTATCAGCAGCGGCGACAGGCAACGCCCGCCGGCCACGCTTTTGCCCGAGCTACCGCCCCCCATTCCAGATCCCCCGGCCAAGGATGCCAGGCTGCTCTGCGAAGGACTGGGTGTCCTGAGGTCACCCGGATCCACCGAATGGGCAGGGCTGCCGCAACGGGCGTCCAAGGAAATGGTGCGCATGGGACTGGGCGATCTGGCCAAGTGGTGCGGAAAGGCCGGCTCACTCGGAAGAGAGCTGCGTCCGTCCGGTCCAAAGGTCCGTATCTGTGGTGAGGAGCCGCGATGACCCTGTGACAATAGCAAATAGAGTTAAAAAGGCTCTTTCAAATAGAATAACTAATCAAAAAAGGGCATACATTTATCTTCAAGATAAACAAACAATCAAACTTATTAACCTTAAGATTTAGTTTTATTAAATCAGGGTATTTTCTTTCTAAGAACAAATAAAGCAAACATATTTTCCTTAACAATATATTTCAAAACATTAGAACATATTTAGTTTCTTAATTTAAACAAATCTGGTATTTCATTTTCATTTTCAAGAATAATGGGGGAAATATATTTTGAATTTTTACCACCAACCAGATTAACTTTCCTTTTAACTTCGAATTTGAGTTTAAAAAATAAGTTAATTCCAATACAGAAACATAAAAAACAAATACAGATATAAAACATGAGAGAACGCTGTACGCATATAAAATAATATTTACTCTTAACCAATTCTAAAATAAATGTTCCGCCGGCAGATGGCGCCAGCAATTCTATTACCGCGCCAATCCACCAAGTCGAAAGCGTCATCTGATGTGGAAAACATTCATGATCGTATATAAGAAAATATAAAACAATTGTTCGATCTGGAAAATTTAACGACTAGTCTTTATTATATGTCTCTACAGAGTTCCGAGAATTGTGGGCGTGGCCAAAATGTAAAATAAAGAATTTTTATATATGTACGGTTTACCTATCACATAACTTCTAACAAATACAATGTAGTCTTTCAATGGGTATGAAAAGTAAATTTTATAGTGAGTTTATAGTTTAAGAGAAACTTATAGATAAACAATAAATTTTTTCTTGATTAAACGGTGATCTATATTTGAGAACAATATTTTAATTGAATTATTTTATGAAAAAGTTTTAAAATATATAGAAGAGTTTTCAGGAGTGTGATTTTAGAAATATATACAAGAGTTTTAATTTGACTCACCGAATGTCTGGATGGGGCGCTGTCCACGCTGCTCTGACTGGAGATGGACGGCGTGCGCTGGAGGCGCGGCGGGAAGGAGCGGCTCTGGTGGTGCAAGTGCAGCGGACTGTGGAACACTTCGGCGGGTCCGCGCAGGATGTCCGTTCCGGTGGCCGAAACCGTGCCCATGTGGTGATGGTTGAGGCCCATGCCGCCGTGCATGCCGTGCAACTGGCTGGCCGGCTGGATGGGCTGGCACTCCTTGGCAATGGCCACCTCCTGGGGGTTTTCCATTAGAATTGAAACATTAATAAGTGAACATATGTAAGTAACCCCCAATAACAATATAAACCTCCGAGTCCGTGGGCAAATCACAGCTGTCGCTGACACTACCGGCCGAAACGCTGCCAATTCCGCTGGTGGTCGAGGTGACCGACGAAGCCGATGGCGGCGGGGTCATGGGCTGCGGTGGTGGGGTCGTGGAGCCCTCCCCAGTGGGCAGGATGTGCACCAGCGACGCCCCGTTTCCCCCAGCAGCGTTGGAGCCACCACTCCCACTCGGCGATCCCTCGTCCGCCGAATTCCGATCGAGGGTAACGCGACGCACCGCTCCCACTCGCTCCTTGGCCATTCGCGACCAGGACTCGATGCGCTTGTGGGCCAGCCAACAGGCTGCCGGACCCAGACCGCTCATCTTCCCAATTACCAAGAGACTGCGGCTAAGGGAGCTGCCCTGCGAAAAATAATGGGTTTTGTTGCTTGGCTGCCTTGAATATTTGCGGGAAAAGGAACCGCTGTTTCACTGCTTTCGCCCTCTGCCACTTTACACTCACAAAAAAAAAATAAAAAGGTTTCAAGCTTTTTTTAATAAACATGTTTGCTGTAAAGGCAACTCTCCACAGATTTGCAAAGTACCTAACACTAAACTTATTAAATTGTTAAAACAAAAGTAGTTTTCCTTTAAGTTACAAGTTCATAAACTAAAAAATTAGCACAAAAAATATGGGTCCCTAAAAAATTCATTAGGTGTATTTATTAGTTGAATAGGTAAATTCTCTATTTAAAAAAAAATATATATGTTTGTCAAGTAAATCAAAAAGTTAAAAAAAAAATTTTTGCTTCCATTGCATACTAATTAAAATTTAGCAAACCCATAGCAAATTATTGCGAGTGCAGTCACACATTTGCCCGCTGTTAATCCGCTTAGACAAATACACTCACATGCCATTAGAGTGGACCAACCACCAAAGAGGAAATGAAACAGGATGAGATGCCGGGCACAAGTGCGGTTTAGGTTGGAAGCCATGAGTTGGCATTAAATATGCCCATGTAGGTCATGGTGCAACATTTTAGCATTCCCACCCATCGATGTTAACAATCCGCTTATCAGAAACCTTGAGTATGACCTTTATAGATGACTTGGAGTAGATTTAACAGAGAAGCGATCGATGAATATTTTTAACTATATTCAACTTGAAACGAGAAACCCGAGTGCAGCCGCAGATGACGCCTTACCTTCCAATTTCTGACAACCAAACACTTGCAACCTCCGCGCAAAATCATTTTTGTAAAACGCTTTGCGGGTGAATAGCAGTCAGGATAGTCAAAAGTTCTCCAATCTCTGCGCACCCATCTCTTCTATTGGTAAGTTGAATGGCAGGTGGCAAATGGAGATTCTTAGGGGAAAACCATGGAAACTGCACTAACGAACAATGTGCGTCAGAGTGGTGGCAGCTCCGCTAACCAGCCAGTTAACTAGTTCTGCCCTGCATCACAATGTGTCCAAAGCAGATAATGCCCAATTATCCGAAAGAAAAGATGGCATAAAACGAATAAAGGAAGAACGCATGGGTACAGTCAAAGCTGACTAATAAGCTTCTAAAACAATCCTTCAGCACTTTATTTTTTACTATTTAGAATGGTGGTACTAAAGTGATATAAAAAGGCCAAATTGGCGTCAAAGAAACAAAGAAATTGTACCGTTTTACTACCTTTTTATTCGTTTTTGTTTTAAAAATTGTGAATTATTCAGAACAACAAGAACCAGTATGAATCACAATGATATTTGTTTAGTTTTAACTATTTAAAGCCCTACATAAATTATTCAACAAAGCATTCAAAAAGTAATTATACATGAAATCAACGACAAAGTAGGACCACGAATTTTTCAATACAACGCTAATCAATATTTACTTTACCCATTACTTATTGACTAAAAGGCTATTGTAATTGTATTAAAAAGTGTCTAACGGGTAAAAGTATATATATTCTTGATTAGGATCAACAACAGACACGAGCCATGTCCGCTGTTTGTCCGTCTGTCTTTTCGTCTTTCTGTCCGTCTGTTTGTCCGTTTAATATTTAGGGTCATATTTGTTTTGAAATTGCTAAGCTTAGTTACATGTATCTAATATTCGGGGCTCTTGTTTAGTTTCAATCGCTTTATGTTCCAAGAGAATTCTTAAGAACGTGCCAATTCTTTAGAATAAGAAGATTGAAAAAGGAATAATTTATAGCGTTTTGATCCACCTCATAGCTAAGTTTAATAGTTTAAATAAGAAACAAAATGTGTCACCACTCTTCAAAATAAAATTATTGAATAGAGTGACACTTTCGTTGTCCTCAAAAAAAACCACAACTTATTTTACTCGCTTAATCTTTATAAGCCCAATTAATGACAATGAAATGTGAACCGTTTAAATAGTAAATTTCCTGAAAAAAAATGCCAGGAGACATAAGACTAGACATAAAGACCAGTCCATAATATCGGCATCTGCTGATGCTAATGAAAGTTGTATTTTAACTGCTTAATGCTGTTTCTGCAAATTTCTGGTTAATATTAGACAGCCTTCTACAAGCACATAAATATGCAGAGGACGCTCGATATCATGAATATGCAGACGAGGCATTCTCCGGCAAACCTCACAATTCCCCAGCGGTCGATTTATCTTGCAGTCCGCATTTCGATTTCGCCTTTTGCATTCCATTCCACTCCCAGAATTTTCACGTTTTTCGTTACGCAGCGTGACGAATGGCGAAATGCGAATTCATTGGCATTTGTACACGCCCAAGTGCCGTTAAATAGTTGGGAAAAACAGGGAGAGAGTACCCAAAGTCGGGGAACTCGGACCGGGAAGATCCGTCGACGAGGGGTTGCTCAATACAAAAGTAAACAAAAAACTTATTTTTCAAGTATTAAATAAATTAAATGAAATTAAGCACGTGTAGCGAATGACATCAAAACATGGCAACGACCCTAGAGAAAGGGAGAGGGCTGCAGAGTGCGACAGAGAAGGGACGAAATCAAGGACCAACCCTCAAATTAGTTTGGGATAATAAAAATGTGCTGCTCGGTCAAAGAAAAATGTTGTCCAAGTCTTTAACGCACACTGACAGCCCGAGCCCTAATGTGCTTGTGTGCGGTGTGTCCTAGATCTTCTAAAAGGATTTTTATTGATTTCGTAACATTACTCTGAGTTATTCATCACTTTCATTGCTCTGGCTGTCGCCAATTTGGCTGCTGATTTTTCAGGGAAAGTAGCACACATATTGTACAGCTGTTGGAAAAAACACGACCTTAGTTTCAATTGTAAGAAGGTTTTGGTTTGGACAAAATATTATCTTTTAAGTAAAATAACAGTAAATAATTGAATAAACCAATAGCTTCTAGACAAAGATATAGCTAATTTGGCAAACAAACTATAAAATTTAAATTATGCTCCGAACAAAAAGGTTTATATAATTAATACTAAATTACTTGCGTCTCTTCTCCTTCGTTTCCAAAAAAATGTTTTCCTAAAAAGACTTTCGAAAAACTGATTGAAGAAGAGTAATTATAATTATGAATTATGAAGTACAATTTTATACACATTTTTGTTTCTGTTAAACTTCAATTAAAATAAGTTCTGTTGAAAGCTCCATCCTACAAATTAATACTAATTATCGGTTAGAGCTCAGACCAAAAAGAAAAATATTAAGAAAACTTATATTTTGGGGTATCATATAAGTCGTAGGGGTTGGGGTTGCTTACCGAGAACTGAGCTATTATTAAAACCTCCCTTTAAGGTATGTTGGTTACAAATATATACAATTTTCCTTTAACGTATCCTATTATTAGAGAACTGAGTAGGGTTCTTGTGAAATTAATATTTTTGATTAAAACTTGTCACACGGACTCCCATTGATGTACTTCCTCTACTAATAAGAGAGGATTTCGAATAATAAAATAAACAACTATTTTCACCCAAAAGCGACAACATAAGCTAGTAATTTGGGCGTCAAATTCGGAGCTCTAAAGTGTGCTCACTAATCCCCCATTGATACCCTTGAGTGTCAACCAAGTGTATTGCACAACGTCGGGAATTTAAGGGCGAGAACTGCAAAAACATCAACGATAATTCCATTGAAATGCAGCCAACCGCACCGTTGCTAATTGACACCTATGTAAACTGCAATCAAAGCGACAAACAGCCAAGCCCACACTTTTCAAATTTCTCACCCCATACCAATTGAAAATGAGCGAAAAATCCCAGCGAAAATACCCCAAAAAAAAAGGGAAAATTTAAACGGGGGGTGGCTGGAATCTCAAACTCAAAGGCAGCCGCATTCAGGACCAAAAAAAGGTGCTGCATGTGGCAAATGCAACACATCATCAGCGCATCAATGAGCTGGGTTCCAACCCTCAGGACACTCGAGTAGATAAATATGAAATTGAAATTTTCCGGTTTGTTTGATATTGCTGAAGGATTGATTAATGGGATTTACTCGCCCACTTCTTTGTAATATACTGCCCTTAGCTTTCAACTTTTCTCTTTCGCATTTCCTCTTCTGGTTGATATTTTTCCTAGAAGCTCTTGCTGGATTTCTCTGCTCTTCACTGTCAGTTATGAGCTAAAACCTTTGGCTTCAAACGTTAAAGAAACGTATGTACATATGGGAACATGGGCACTTGAGTATATATAAACACGATAATGCTTTCATCCAGCTCAGCTCAGACCATTCTGACACACTTCAAAGATGTTTCTTTTAACTAAAGATTGCACATAACGTCCTTGAAATACTTATGGATTTATAACGATGAGCTCATATAAGGCAGAAGCAAAAATGAATTGAATGTTGGACGTGTTAAGTAAAACCAGATTCAAGGGAGCCGCAATTGATTTCTTGAGTTTAGAAAAAAACTACTTAATTAACGGACTGAAACTGTATCATAAAGCTGCCTTGATTTCTTGAGTTTAGAAAAAAACTACTTAATTAACGGACTGAAACTGTATCATAAAGCTGCCTTAGAAAAATATCTAAGAATACTACACTAAGAAAAGTAGAAAATTTCGGCAAGCCGACGTTTTTATACCCTTGCAGAGGGTATTATAATTTCAGTCAGAAGTTTGCAACGCAGTGAAGGAGACGTCTCCGACCCTATAAAGTATATATATTCTTGATCAGCATCACTAGGCGAGTCGATCTAGCCATGTCCGTCTGTCCGTCCGTCTGTCCGTCTGTCCGTCCGTTTATATGCAAACTAGTCTCTCAGTTTTAAAGCTATCTGCATGAAACTTTCCCAAAAGCTGTCTTTCTATTGCAGGTAGTATATAACGAACGGAACGAGCCAGATCGGACGACTATAGCATATAGCTCCCATAGGAACAATCGGAAAAATAAATGAAAAAAAATTATAACTTTGCTGTTTTTTAATTTTTTGTTTAGTTCTTCGACATTTAGTAATGGTTAAATATTTCCGATTTACGGTTTAAATTTCATCAAAATCGGACGACTATAGCATATAGCTCCCATAGGAACAATCGGAAAAATAAATGAAAAAAAATTATAACTTTGCTGTTTTTTAATTTTTCGTTTAGTTCTTCGACATTTAGTAATGGTTAAATATTTCCGATTTACGGTTTAAATTTCATCAAAGTCGGACGACTATATCATATAGGTCCTATAGGAACAATCGGAGAAATAAATGAAAAAAAATTATAACTTTTCTGTTTTTTAATTTTTTGTTTAGTTCTTCGACATATGGCAATGTTTAATTATTTCAGAATTATGGTTTAAATTTTATCAAAATCGGACGTCTATATCATATAGCTCCCATAGAACTAATAAAAATATATAAAATAACTATCTAATAATTGAGCTGCAAATCATCATAGCTTCACTGTTTTTCAGTATATACTCAAGTAAATCATAATTTAAATGTTTTCAAAAGTATTTAATTCATGCAATAGCTGCAAGGGTATATGAACTTCGGCTTGCCGAAGTTTGCTTTCTTTCTTGTTTATAAAAAATTTGGATCGGACGACACTTTATCAAGCTGTTAAAGGAAATAGTTATTTAATTTGCAAAATCATAATTAAATCCAATTAAGCATAAAATTGTATTGCAAGTCGACACGACTACATTCGGTGGAAAGCCATTTAATAGAATATTCGTTTTTTGTTATAGCTACAGGGGTAACTAAGCTTTGGCCTTCAAATTTTTGCTTTTCTTAGAATTGCTTATTTTCGCAGGAACATTTTCTGCACAAAGTATTTTTTTACAAGGTCTTCCGTCAAATTGGATAATGACTTGCCTTTTGCTTCCAAGAAATGTCATTAAATACTTTCATATAGGGTTTTGTCTTTAATTTTCTCTTGTTTTACAAAGATTTTTGTATAGAAATATGAGGAAAAAATTATTTTGAATCCGGTGGAAGTTTTTCGATTAAAAGTGTTTGTATTTTGGTGAGCGCGTGCATCGTAGTTCTGCTGCATTCTAATTAGTTGCTCAAAGTCATTAGAAACTTGTTGCCGCATGAAGGCAAAGGGGGAAAGTTTAATGGAAAACTTTCGATAAGTAGGCTGCGATAGTTTTGCACAATCTTTTAATGTCTGATTCTATCAGTTTCTTTCCCGTTCGTCAGCATTTTTCGTTCGCAATCAGTTACAAAATTGTGTTGTTTCCAAATTGTTGGTTAATTCCTTCAGAAATATAGTGTAATGGCTGCTCGTCTACTCAGTATCCTCCAATTGGGCGGGCACATCCTGCCCAAACGAAAGTTTGCCCATCAATCACTGTTTTTTGCAAGGGGAATGTCTAGGAGGAAGCACCAAAGTCAGAACACTGAGAAAGGCAAAAAAACTTGTCCGAAAAATCAGTTTTTCGGTGGATGCTTTAAGAGTGGGTCAAAACTTTTAAAAGCACTTTTAGTTGTTACAGCTTAGCGATCTTTTTCTTAGACTCTGAACCTTTTAGGAGGGAAAACAAGAAGGAAAAAGCCAAACGCTGTCGGGATCCTTGCAAAGACGGACCATGCCGCCCAGAGAAGTAGATGACTGACCTCTAAAAAAGCTGGAAATAACCAAAGTTCTTAGCCTTATAGCTTTCATTTCCAAATGATTACTACAGTTACTTTTGAACAGAATAAAACAGGTCGCCCAAAAATCGTCTTAGCCATGAAATAACCAATACATGTATTTTACTTGGAAAGATTGGCTTGTATTGGCGATATTTCTATAAGTGAAGAACGATTTGTTTAATTTGAAATATAATCTGTTAGTTTAAAGCAAAGAAAAAGACGTTCCAATCCGAAATGGATCGTAATTACATTCTTAATATTATTTTGTGTTCGTCAGCATATATTTTTTTAAGTTTTCAAAAAAAACAAGCTTAAATTTTAAGGTTTTTGTAAATTTATAAGATTAAATTTAGCGCAATTAAACCCCATTTTAATCCCATTATACCAACATGCTTGTTAAGCACTAACTGTTAAAGCTTAAAGTTAAATTTACACATAATCTTTTTGCCCGCACTCCGAGCACACAAATAACACTTTACATATGTGCGGTTTCCCATCTGCATTTGAAATGTATGTAAGGAGACGTGTGTGTCATAGTCGCAAACAAAGGATACGTGAGGTTGTCCGGTGAAAAATGCTCAGCATCTGTTGACACCTGAATAGGAGGAGGTGTCTCTGGCCCCAGCCCGCCCCCTATGATTTCATGAACCCCCCCCTTTTTGGCTGTCAACGGCAGACAGCGCTCGTGACCGTGCCCCCTTCCCCCACCCCCCCAGAGCTCCTGTTGTGGTGCATACATTTTAATCCTATTAGCACAATAGTTACTGTTATTCCATATTGCAGTAATTTTTCTAGATTGCTCTCCCTGCCACGGACACGCCAGCAACAACGCATGCCACTCCACCCTGACGACGTCCTTGAGCTTGACCACCAGCACCACCGCCCCCTAAAAACCAAGGCTAAGCCCAGCCCACATCTCTGGGGGAAATGGAAAACGGGGAATGGGGAAATGGGGAAATGGAGAAATGGGGAAATGGAAATTGTCATCGCCGTTTTTGTTGTTTCAGTTTCTGTTTAAGCTGGTGCTGCTCCTGCTTTTTTATTGTATGCACAAATATCCTGCGGTGTTGTCTGCTTGGGATTCCTGGCCAGGACACTAAGGTGTGGTCCTGCAGTCTTCGAATTGCTGAGCGCTGAAAGCTATTTTGCGTGGTTCGTGCAGGTGCCAAAGGCTTCAGCTGCTTAAATGTGGCCCAAGTCGGGGCAAAAGTGGCTACACTTGGTCAGTGAAAGGCGGTGACGAGATGGCAAAGGCTTTGGCTCGCAATGGAAAAGGTTTTCGCATTCCTGAGTAGAGATTTACTGAGGCTCATTTGAATTCCAAAGAGAGTGAAGAAGGAGCAGGTTAAGTGCTTCCACAAAGTTGAAATAAACCAAGGAGGATATGAGTTTTGTTTAGAAGTAGAATTTCTACAATACCCATAAAAATTATCTCTGGCTTTAAGCGCTTTTAAATCAGAGACTTTTATAGTGACTAAATTATTCCTATGCAATCCAAACTATAAAAACGGAAGTAAAATATTTTGATAGGATAATTAAGCCGCACAAAATGTTAATCATTAAAAAACAAAATTGTATTAATAATGCCACACCCAAACAAATTGTCATAGAAAATACACTGTTATCACATGAGTCTTAAACTATTGGGTATGAAAAATTTCTCAAAAAATGTGTATTAAATTATTACCACAAAAATATCTTAAAAAAATTTATGCGGTTTAAAAACAAGGCCTTAGAGTACAGTTTAAGACTATTTGGTATCGAAATTAAACCAACAAATAAAGAGGTTATTTTATTTAGTGTTCAACTAATAGATATAATTTGTTTTTTGGGTGCAATTAAATTTAATTTTAAGTTTTCCGAACTAAATGAAATACTAATTAAAACTAATTCTTTTTTTTTAAGCAAAACAAACTTTTTTTAACATGAAATTTATTTTAGAGATCTAAGCTTCAGGAACTAGTTAGCTGGCAAACTCTTTCAATTTAATATTAGCCTTTTACAAGCCATCACTCCATTTAAATGCTAATTTATTTAGTTTCAACTTTCCCAACTGTGATATGTGTTTAGAGAAAACTTTATAAACTGACATGTGTCCGTTTGTGGAAACCACTGACAAACTCATTAGGACCTTAGAGCCAGCCCAACGGCAGGCTAGTCTTTGGGCCAAAAAAAAGGACAATTAACAATCAAATTAGGTATGCACATCGCCGTTATTGTAGTTTGGACAAAAGCCAAACAATTGGCCGGGATAACTTTTGACACACGTCGTCTAAGCCGTAATCTGAGCCGGGCCAAAAGGAGGAGTCGGGAATCCGGAATCGGGTATCAGGAACAAGGATTCCGGAACACGGAACAAGGAACCAGCGGCAGACAAATGAACGGCAAACAAACACACAATAAGATTTCCGCTGCATAAGTCTTTTGTAATCCCATTTAAATAATTGCGACCAACAACAGTGGAAAAGCGGACGAAATGGCACAAAAACCAAATCCGCAAATCTCTGCCTCTAGCCGGACGGACAGACATTTGAGCGTGGCCGGAAATTAAAATGTAAAACAGCAGCTCATTATACGCTCACCTACACATACACACACAGACACACAAAATGGACATAGTGGGCGGTAGGAATGGAAAGATGGAAATGGGAAGGAAGGACTCTCTGCCAGGACTCACTTACACTGCAAAACGGTAATTCATCTTGCACTTTTTGTGGCTTAAAAGAAATTGGGTTGCTCGGTTTTACTCCTTCCGTGCGTGCACTTTATGATCCTGCCACACAATTTTTGCTGCCTGTTATTGCCCGACATTTATGGGGGTTATATTGCGGAAAGAACCTAGCGTGCCAACTTTGTACTCCGACCTTGATGCACTTTACTGGCCACCCAGCCCTCAGTATAAAACTATATTTTATTGCAACCGCTAAAAAGCGGATGGCACGATATTGATAGGGACTTTGATTTAAATCCGGGTGACGCAGTTTTCCAAAATGTTCAAATATTATAAAAATAATCTTTCCTCAAATTTATTGGCTTTGCTGACTATTCTTGATTCACACTTTTTAGCAACATTTTTCAATTTTTTGACATTGTATATTATTGTGTGATACGAAAAATTGTAGTGTTAAAGTTTGAAAACAACCCATAAAGTATTTGTTACAATAATCATAAAATTATTATTTTTGACAACAATGATTTTTATAATAATAATATTCTAAATATTTTTAATCAAGTTGAAATTAATTGTATATTTAATGGCTTGTGTATAAATTACAAAAGACAAATAGAATTTTTTATTCAAATAATCCGGAATTCTACAAATTGTAGTAACTGACATAGTACTTTATCCAATCCTTATTTTTTACTGCCACTTAAAAACTTTTTCGACGCTAACACAAATCGCCGTTAAAAACTTAAAGTTATGCATTACCAGCAGGCACACAAACCGATATAGTAAGCCATAAAAGCTAAACGGAGAATAAAATAGTTTAGCAATAGCCGCCGGTTGCAACAAGTTCTGCAAGCATTAAAGAACAAATGTGCTGGGGGATTTTCAACAGTTTTGAGCACATATTGTTCAGGAAAGGCGGTGGGAAATGGCGCAGTTATTGTGTGGCGAGAAAAACCCCGATGCAACACTTGTCCTGGCCGGGGAAACTGCCGATGATAATCCGCTCATCAAACGTCAATACAGCTCTCATCGCTTCTGGAGGAAGGGAGTGCTCAGAGCCCGGATGCCTGTCTGTCAACTTGTTTACAAAGGCGAGATGCGAACGAGTCCTGCCGCAGTCCTTGTGGGGATACCCGGGCGTAGAGACAGGACCTCATCATCCGTAGCCACCCGGAGGCAAGAAATTAATCACCAATACAATGGAAATTGTGCGGCTGCAGTGCATCGATTGCATTTAGCGGTGGCAGCTTTTCCTGGTCTCTTTTCCTTAAACCATTCTACTCGAATCTCTGGTAAATAACCCTGCGGCCACACACAGTGGCTTATTGGGTGACTGGGTTTGCCGGAATGTGTTTAATGCTATTTGCCCTATTCTCAACAAAGTTTTTGTGTAAAGCTATAATCTGGTTGGAATCGTAATTATGGGATATTTCCCACAAACATGTTTTTGTATGAACGATAAGTTCATTGAGATTTGGATTATATATTTTGGGAATTGTGCCACTTAATGGGTTACCAGTAAAAAGGGGTTTCTAAGACAGGATTTGTGATTAAATTTTACTAATTTTCATCGTCCATACACAACTTTATAGCAAAAAGCACGAAAATGCAATAAGGGACTTTTTACTTGAAAAATAATATGTACACTTAAATATGAACTAAATCATATAATAAGTATAAATCTATTAAATGTGTTTTATGAATGAAATATAATAATATATTTTCATAAAAACGGATGGGATAAAGGCTTAACATGTGGAAGTTGATAACCTGGTTACTTTTTTTCAGAATATTTTTTTAAAGCTTGAACTGGAATAGTTTTAAATCTATAATAATTTCAAATAACATATTCGAAATTTGATGCCTTAAAAATTGAATATTTAATTCACACATTTGCACTTTTCAATAATAACTGGGTGCTCCTGAGTATGTTTTTCCCACTTTAATGTTATTAAAAAGATTTCTTTTAAACCAATTATGGTAAATGGAATTAATTTTACCCATCCACACTCATGAATGGCACATTTTTTAACCCAGTTACTTGTCAAAATCTGTTAGCAAACTTCCTTTATTGACGACTCACATGTGCTATCTCGACTAGTCGACAATGGCAGCCTTCTCTGCGGTTTAAATCAAAACAATATCAGATTCAATATTGCCATAAATAAATACAATGCAAGCCGGGATATGGGGAAATGTATCTGGCGAATGTCTTGCAAATCGCTGTGCGAAAGGAGCCAGGAAGGGATCAAAGCGAACCAGCCGCCTTTCGACAATTTGGCCATTTAACCCTTCGCAAATCAAAGGACTATTGTTTGGGGGCCCGGCAGTAGAAATACAGAAATTGCACGGCGATGCATTGACATGATCCGATTTGCCATCTTTACCCATTCAGGGAGATGGATGCTGATGGCGACGGAAAATGTGTGTTGCATGCAG